AATACTAGCCCTTAGGAAAATAATTAAATAGAATCTAATTACAGTAGGACTGCTGGCTATTCTCAGTGAATTATACCTGGGATCTTCCTAATTTCTGCAAAGATCATTCCTAAAATTATTTCATATACTAGTTGTTAAGACAAAGTTTGTTAGCTTTTTTAAATGCAATTTAAAGATCTTACTTACATCTTTTACTCCTAAATAAACATTTCAGAGCTTCAAATACTGAACATCAAGTGTCTGCATTGCATACATGAATGAAAACACTTGCTTTATTTGCTTATATTATGATACTGTTCAATTGCTAGCACATCTTGTACAATAACAAAGGAAAATACCATCCTTGACAGTCTAAAAATACAGACTATGAACAGAACAGGGAAGGCAATTCAGTACTTAAGTCAGTACTGTGAGCAAAGACGAAAATGTCTTGTCAGTACTGTTGTATTGCTTTTCTGAATCTATTTCCAACTAGTGACGCATAATTAATGTAGCCACTGCATTCATTAGTCTTCCGAGGACATTTACAAATAGGAAGAGTTCTCGTGCAGAGTAGCTTGGGAAGGGAGTCACAGCAAAAGTTCTTAGGAGAGGAACCCAGAGGTGATGTGCTGAGACGCGGCTGTATATGGTTATATGGCACTTTATGGATGAAGGAGGAGGTGTGTGGCTGTTCCTTGCAGCATTTCCTGCCCAGTCAGTCATTGCCTATCTCTGTAAGAGATGGTTGAGATACTAGCTCTTATTCAAATGTAAGGATATTGACACCAATGAAATAGCAACTGGATTGCAGAAACATACATACAGGTATTGGTGGCTAATAGCACATTTAAATGTGCAATTGCCAGTTACGAACTGATACAATTAAAGCTTCCAGGGTTGTTCTGTAAATCAGTGCATGTATCAAGTTGGAAAATATGTCTCTTGGAACATGTATTTGTTAAAATTAAGTATCACTGAGTTTTTCACTAGCTTCTGTACTAGATTTACTAAATAAAACATGTCTTTCTAATTGTCAGTCTTGTGAATGCAACTTTGCAAAACAAAATATAAGATTCAAGGAGGAGGGAAGAAAAATACGTAATACTTCTCTCCCTTTCCCCCCCACCCCTTTTTGCAGAGCAAAAATCCTGCTGTTGTATTTGCCTAGATGTGTAAACTTACTAGGCTGTACTAGCAAAGTTGGTGATGAAAAGGAAGATCTTGTTTAATACTTCGGTTTAGTGCACTAACATGGAAGAATAAGTTGGTTGGTTTGGAAGGTGCAGTTTTAGGGGAGTGACGTTTACATAATCAGTTCTTAAGTTCAAGCAATAATGATGGGTATTTGTGTTGCAGTATTGTATTTGATATCTCTGGCAAGCCCCCACATCCTTTTCCTGCAAGCTCTATGGCATTAAAAGAATTGAAATATAAGAAATTTTATATTAAACAAATAAAATACTTAAGGAGTTTTAATAAACATTTTAAGACCAGGCCCCTGAAGTCTGGAAGATCCAGTAAGGTGGGGTTTTTTTTGGTTTGGTTTTTTTGTTTTTATAAATTGGGGATTGAGGTACGCTGCACCGTGTTTTGAAAGAGCAAACTTCTGCATAACTGGCATTTGAAGGCATTTGAAATGTGAGAAATGCCCTTAACACGTCAGCAGGTTGAGCTTCACAGAGACAATGTAGGATTGGCAGTGTTGTACAGTGAATTATATACACACATGCATGCAAACTGTCTTTAAGCAAACGGTGAAGCAAATCATTTTTAAGCAAAAGATACTCAGTAAAGGTGTAATATATTTTCTAATATTTATTTGCAACGATCTGGAGTAGAGCTTTACCCACGAGGGTGAAGACTGTAACCTTCCTCACTGTTGCATGGTAGGAGTATGACAGGTTTGAGGAAGCTTTATGTCTCATGGAGAGCATCTGAAGGGGGAGGGAGGAACGGTAACATTTTCCCCAAATCATGTGCTAGGGAGTAAAGAACAGCCTAGAGGGGGATTATGCCCTCAGATACAAGGCTGTTTGGAGAAGCTATTTTGTGAAATTTAAATCCTTCTTGGCAGCATGTCTTCTTGGAGAAATTTAAGGGGGAAGTATCTCTATGTTAATTTAAAATATTATTTTGTTTAACATGTCTAGAGCTATAGATCTCCCAATTCGCACATTAATAGTGCATACGCATTTTTTGGTAGTACACTTATTCTGATTATTACTTCAAAAACTTTGTCTTTTAATTTTGGAACTCCTTGAAGAATTGTTTGTTGTGGGGGGAAAAAACAAGCTTGATGGTTCTCTCTTAAGTCCATCAGAGATTTAAATGTTTTGTCAAAAGTCAACTTTGTTTTTCCCTTTGTCAGAGAATCTACAAATTTTTTGTGCATTTGAAAAGTTAATTTAGTGTCTACATATTACACTAATTTAACTATGGCATGTCCTAGACCTAGGCTTTCTTGCTGCTTTGGGTGGAGGATCACTTACGGGGGCGGGTGGGGCAGATACTGTTGTGTTGGTTTTGTTCTTTTGAGAGGACCATGTTACTTTTAGGTATCACTTCAGATTTCCTTAGGCATTTCTTCAGCTAATGCTGATTTTCTTTCTTACCAGGAACAACAAACACTTTCAGGTATTTTTTTCCTTTAGTCCTAGCAAGTTTGATTAACTTACCACTGGGAAAACCTTTTGTACACTATCTTTTTGTATTTATTCCTGTTCTCTTCTGATGAGATTTTTAGGCTGTGTGTTCCAGAAATGTCAGTGAATGACTTAGCTGAACCCGTAAACATGGCTTGGACCCTAAGCACGTTTTCACTAGAGCTTAGGTAACTGCCGCCTTCTTGGAGTGGAAATGTGCATTTTTCCCTTTTTGCTGGGCATGTGCTTCTCCTATCTCAGGCTTCATCACCTGAGGAAAATCAGCATAGTGATTAGTGACCTAGTAACTCCCTTAATTCCTTTAAAACACTTCAAAGACATTTGTATACTAAAATTAGAAATAGAAATCAGTTAGACTTTGAAAGTCCTCGTTCCTTGGTTGTTGGCTGTAGATGTGAAGTCAGGTGGAGCTTGGAGTACCATTTTGGCTCTTATTTTTGTCTCGTCTGCTAAAAACAAGGTGTGGCTAACAACAATCTGGAAGACAATCAAGAGATACAGATACGTTTTAAATATATTGATTCTATTCTCACTTACTGATCATTCGGGTTATTGTCTTTTGGGAAGGATTACCAAAAATCCTAAGACATTTCTGGTGATGTTTAAAATCCTCAAATTCTTTTTTTGCTCAAGTTCTATGCAGAATTTGATACAGTACATCATGTTATGGTACGTGATATGGTGCAGTACACTAAGTCCTTATGATAGTTGACAAAAGCACATAATTTATGGTAAGATTAAGTCTCTTAAACTTTTGTTAGATTGTGGGGGTTTTCTTCAAATGGACTTGGACTTTCTTCCCATTCCTTCAAACTTATTTTACAAAAACTTTTGAACTTGGAAAAGAGGATGACAGCCAAAGCTTCTGAAATTTGGATAGGAAAAGAGGGAAATCCCTGAAATTGTAGCCAGCAATTAGACCTCAGGCTCTGTCTGGCACTTGGAAGACCTAGGGTCAAAGTGGGAGTTTGGATCCAGCATCAGCTTCCATGTTGTGTTCTTAAGCCTGAAGGGGATGGATTGACTAGAAACTAATTAACTCAGAGAATTAATTTCAAATCTTTGGTTTGCTTAGTATATGAAACCACAATTTTGTACAGACTGCTAAGTTTCTTGGTCAGGTTGTCCAGCTAGACTAGGAGAGACTTCTTTGCTGGTGCAGGTCTGGGAGACTTGGATGTCTCTTAGCTGGGTATCCTGACCAGCAGCCTGTTTGACATTTTGTGTCTTACTGGCCTTCCATCCTTTTCTATTCTTTGCATAGAAAAAAATTAAAGTTGGTTCTGACATAACAATGCTATGTTTAGCCTGAGAAGTTAATAAGCTCTGACCACGTAGCGTTAATACTGTGTGATATCATATATTGCTTTATGAACTCTTTCCAACAGTATTTCCAAACTATTTTTTCAAAAACGTAACATTTTGTCTAAGCTATCACATCTCTGTAAAATCTCAGCAGTTTTCAAATAAAGATGGATAAATATCCACTCAAGGTATAAAAAATCTGTATATCTACACACATATATACATGTAAGTATGTGTGTGTGTATATATAACAGTAAGAAATTAAATCATTAAGCTTGATCATTAAGTTTTCTTGTTTGTTGAAGTTCACTGGAAGTTAGAAAGTAGTTCAGTTGCTTCCTTCAAGAGAAAAATCTTCAAATCCTTCTTTCCTTTTATTATTAAGAAAAGAATTAAAATCCAAACCCAGGCTTGTGTCCCTGACAGATGTTTGTGCAACCTTTTTTCCTGGGGGCGGTGACAACTGTTTCTCGGGTATGCTTTTAGAAGCAGAGGGGTGTGGTTGTTACAGTCTAGATCATGAAGGGAGGTCCAGGAGGTCCTAAAGTGGGCTAGGAGACCTGGTGGAGTAGAGAAGATTCATTCCCAGTAGAAGAAGCATCATTCTCTATACCTAGGTGTCAGACTCACCAACCACAAGGAAACTGGAGGCATGGGGAATAAATGTAGCCTTTTTCTCTATTTTAATGGAGAATTTCAACTGTAGTGGGAAAGTATGAGATTTTTATTACTGAATGAAGGCAAGGAGTCAGTCTTTCGTACCCAACAGTCTTTTATGTACCTTTGGAAATACAGAAGGTTATAGAGGACTACCTAGTGTAAAAAGATGAGTACACTTTGAGGGAAGAGTATTATGGGTGCAGTGTTAAAAGAATTTTCTCAAAGCGTGGGCTTCAGCTGGAGAAAGACTCTTGTTCCATTTTTGGCATCATGCTGTGTTAATGAGCCTAGAATAAGTATCTTCCAATAGTTCTATCTGTACTGGAAAATATTTAAGTCTTTCTGCAAATATATTGTAAATTTCTGGTTTTCTTTTTTTTTTTTTTGCAGGAGCTAGAGTTAATGCCAAAGACAGCAAATGGTTGACTCCTTTACACAGAGCTGTGGCATCTTGTAGTGAGGTATGCTTTTTTTTTTTTTGACTGCTTTGTGTTAAACTAAGACATCTCAAATTACCGTCTGTTCTTTGTTCAGTTTTTATAAAGTGAAACTACTCCAGATATTTGGAATTGCAGAACACTTGCAACAGTTTAACGTGTGGAGAGTATATATATCATATGCCTGAGTAGGAAGAAAGGGGAAAATGATAAACTTCCAGTTCTCAGGTTTGCTCTCTGCTCAAATGCCATTACCCTGGCAGAGAGGATTCTGCATGCAGTATTCTCAAGTCCAGGTTACTTCTCTTAAGGTAACGAGAACGGTTCAGCATGAGGGAAGTAGAGATGAAATAAGATGTAGTACAGCTTTTACAGCATAATCTTTGCATTTCTCCATTTTTTACATGCTCGTCTGTTCAGGCATTGAAGAAGTAAATGGTTCTATAAGGCCTGCAAACATCTTTTTTTAAAAAAGCAATTAATGAGTAATGATAGTATTGAAAATCACTTTAAAAGTTATAAATGAAATATGTAGAAAGTTTTTTGAAGTCTACCAGTGATACAATTGTGAGAATATAGTAATGTAAAAAATGAATTTGTTATATTGTTCCTCTATTGTTGATGTCCTAATAAAAATTTTAAATGTCTGTAGAAGATCAAAACAAACAGAGAAATGCTGAGCTTGTTGTGTGGAAGAGCTTATGCAAAACTGTCTCCTTTGAGATCCTGAGTCAAATCAATGCTCATTTCAGTATGTCTCAAAAACAAAGGGTTTTTAAAGATTCTGCGTAAATTTTTGTTTGAGAAGATGGAATTTAATATTTTGGTTTTGGCAAGCATTGAGTTTCAAGTATTTGATCCAAGAACTGTCTAAACAAGCCTTGTTTCAGTTTTTGCTTTTGAATTCCCTGGATAAATTGCATTATTTTGTCACTAGCATTAATAGCTAAGTTGTGTGGAGATTGTGTTATTCAAAACAGTGTTTCAAAATGAATCTCCAAGGGCACCTTACTCCCAAAAGCTATTTGTTCTTCTTGAGGTATTTTTAGGTTGCTCCTTTGGGAGCTGACCGAAGCACCAAATACTGTATTCTTCAGAGCTCAGGGACAATAAAAGCTCCCTGTATCAGTAATGCTTGTAGAGAGGAGTGCTGCACACAAACTGGACCTAAGTGATAACCTCAAGAAATGCAACCATGGTAATTTTTTGAAATGTGGAATATTTTAAACAAAATACTAACCAAAGTCAAATGAAACATGTAAACCAATCAGTCTACCATAAAAGCAATGATAGGTGCCTGTCAGAATTTTCTATTTATAAACATGGTAAGTCATAGGAGCCCACGTACGTAAATGGAGAGGTGGTTGGTACATGTAGGCACTGTTTTCCAGCTGACAGGCTTACACGGTTTTTTTTAGGCATTAGATGAAAAAAGCTGTAACGAAAAGAAACCTCTTGCTAATGATTTCAGTAAAACATCTGGACTTACTCTGGAAGCAAGGACAGCTGCAATTAAACAAGGACATTGAAACATGCAAAATAGCTGGAATTATAGATTTAGCTGCCAACTGCGCAAGTTCAAGCAACTTCATGTCAAGACTGCCAGGCTCCAGACCTTTATGTTTGTGTGCCTGGTGTACTTCGCAGCAAAAAAAAAAAAAAAAAAAAAACAAACCCAAAAAACAAAAAACCAAAACCCACACACAACAAAAAACCCCTAAGCAGATTCACTAATTCTTGAAATTCACTTATGCCTATGTGCAGAAAAATACAAGAAATTATTTTTATGCTAGTACTACAGTGCTTCCTTCTACAAAAAGGGTGATAGCTATTCTAAAATTTCCTTGTTCTGATTATGGTTTTTCTTAGTATTTTGTTCAAAAAAGACAAAAGTTCAAAATATTGATTAGATTTTTAAAGTACTAAATCTGCTTGTTTCTTAGAGAATAGAAGCTATTCCGTTTCTCAAATTACAAGCCTCTGATGCAGTATTTTCTTTTATGTTTGTTCCTATTTTATTTTTTATTGACAATAGAAGAAATTTGAGCATTTTAAATATAATTTTATTGTAATAAATAGAATCAAGTGTAACTTAGCATTCTGCTCATGGCTGAGAATAATACCTAGCTATTGTACCCCAGTGTAATTCGAAATTTCCAGTGTGGAAATCACCACTACTTGTGGTAATGTGTTTTAAGTTCAAAGTGCCAACCATGTATTTGTGTGCTCAGTGTTTGAGTTGGAAGTCACTGAAAGCAATTAGTGAATTGTAGGAAGGTCACAGAGTTGATGTAAAATGCAGTATTTGTTGTCATGTCAATATCACCAACAGATTTTTTTTTTTTTATGCATTCCAATTGTGTGCACATATTTTAATAGGATTTGTTTATCTTGCTGTAAGAATTATAGTCTTACTTGACAAATTTTCACAGCCTGTACTTTTAACAAAAGGAAATGAATAACCTTTTTGTGAGATGGAATTCAGTGTAACATTTTGAAACACTTTTCAGGAGTTTTGCAACAGTATATGTTGAAACTTTTTGTGACCACAGTTCAAAAATTTTGCTTGGCAAATTGATGAAAATGCGTTATAAGTTCATAACACTTCACTAATCCTTAGCAATGGAAGAAATCTTAAGGAGCTTTGGAAATTAGTTGTGATGACAAAACAATTTGCCAGACGGCTTAAGGAACTGGACAAAAGACCTGGAAATGGTTGATTCGGTTGATTCGGTTGAATCCTGTAGGGAGTATATTGCTCATGTTCTTGAGAACATCCCCAAATCTGGATTTATGATAAAGTACAAATCCCAAAGCATAAGGTGATGTTTACAAAAGAACAAATTGTAAATAGTTCTATTCCATTATACTGAACTGGGATTTAAGGCTGGCATTTCAAATCTTTACTAAGTGGCTTGATTTTTTTGTAAATGCTTTCAGGATGCTGTTCAGGTGTTGTTAAAGCATTCAGCGGATGTCAATGCTCGTGATAAAAACTGGCAGACACCCCTACATATAGCAGCTGCAAACAAAGCTGTGAAATGCGCTGAAGCTTTGGTACCTCTCCTAAGCAACGTAAATGTGTCTGATCGAGCAGGCAGAACTGCATTGCATCATGCGGCCTTCAGTGGACATGTTGAGGTAAGAGTTATTTTTCTTAGCTTGTTTCCTACTTGTTGTTCTGTCCCTCTCATTTCTGATGTTTAGTTTCTCAGTTTAAAATCATGTTTCCCTCATCACCTCAAAAAAACCCCAACGCCTATTTTGTATTTGAATTTGTCTTTTTTAGGCATCTGTGTACAGAATGGTTGCGGAAAATACATGTTACATCATTTAGTTGGAAGGTTAATACAGTGTTCACCTTTCTTAAGACATAAGCAAATCTGCCTGAGTTAAGTGGAGTTAAACTAGTAATAGATAAATTTAAAATGGAAAAAAGAAGGTATTTTTTTGTTCAGTAGACAGTGAACATATGGAATGTGTTGTCACTGAAACGTGACATAAGCTCTAACTCACTAGTTTTCAAGCCCTGAAAAATGACTGCTGGGAAATTCCCATTGTAATTGTGTATAGGTAATTGGAGACAAATTGGCAATAGGCTAGCTTTTATTCTTTGTCTAACTTTAAGCAGAGTTTTCCATTATGAATAGAGGATTTCTTTTCTGTTTATCTCAGATGGTCAGCTTGCTGTTGTCTAGAGGGGCCAATATTAATGCATTTGACAAGAAAGACAGACGAGCTATACATTGGGCAGCATATACGGGTATGTACATATTTCAGTTGATTACTATTGTGGTAGTAAAAAAAAAAGTTCTCCTGATGTTCAGTGGTTTTATATATTTCTAGGAAAAATATTTACATTGTAAGCATTGAGGTTATCTGTGTGTCTGCCAGAAAACTATTAATAGTATACTTCCAATTGCCTTGTAAATGTGTTTTTGTGGTGGGAAAAATCAATTTGTTGGAAAAAAGAAAAGTAAGGTAAGAAATTTTGTTCTTTAAAAAGAAGGAACTATGTTCCTCAATCAGCAAGAGTCTAATCACAGGTGAAAACTTTTGCAATAATGCTAAATAGAAATTAATACAAGGGGCACCTGAAACAGAGGATTGTTACACCAACCTTGGGCATTGTATTTTAAAAGAAGAATATTTCATCTCTAAAACTCCAAATTCTTGCCTTGCCATTCTTATTCCAGGAGTGGATAATTATTGTTCTCATGGTATTGATCAATGCACTGGCAGTACTGTCAGAGTAATGTACTTTGCTGTCTTTTATCAGACTTTCATTTTATTAAGTGGTAGGAATTGTTTTCTTCAGCATAGCTATAATAAATAGCAGAGCTTTGTATCTCAAGCTTCATTTAAAATATGAGCTATATAAACCTTTGGAAGGTGAATCATAGAAAATGCAGATTAAGAGTTCTAGGCTGACACTGACAAAGACTTTTTAGCTTTGGCTAATCTCTTTGTTTCTAAGTAATTCACAAGCAACTGCAGATTGTATTTGTCATTGCAAAGTATGTTGTACCTGTTCAGAAGCCAAAAAACATAATGCCTCTTTTAACTTCCAGAAAATGTCTAAAAATGCCCTTGAACACGTGCAATGTGTGTTGTATATGAGCAGTGAACAATTAAGTTTCAGTTTCAATTTCAGGAAGAAGCCAGTTGAGATGATTCCATGGTCTTGATTGTTACTCAGTATTTTAGCTTATTGCTTCATAATTTTATCCAACCAAGGGACAAGAATAAAAGCAATAGCATCAGTATCGTATGAATCTGCATGCCTGGGAATTTCTTCGAAGACAAAATGGGGAAATAAGACTTCATTATATGTAATTTTTTGTTCCTGTTAGTTTTGATGATCTGCATTTTTCTAAATTTTAAATTCTCCAGAAAATACATATCTATATGCTGAGATGCCATCTTACAAAACTTAGGGAGAAGAACAGTCAGGAAGAGAACATGGTTCTATTATTTATGGCAGCTTTTTTTTTTCAGAGGTGATCTAAAGATGTGAATGTTTTTGTTCCAGTTACAAGAGGAAAATACTACTTGGGATGACTGTCTCGGTGAAAACCTTTATATATAGGGTTTATAAAGGAGCACCTTGTATTTAATGTACAAGGAGAATGGTATCTATACTGCCCCTTCCCTGAGTAAAACAAACTAATTTTACTGTATCTGATATCAAACCAAAAAAATAAACAAGGAAATTAGGAAATTACATGGACTCATTATGTTGACTTCTCTAAGTCTAGGATAACTCTGCCTTGGAGGTCTGATCTTAGGCAAAATGCCCCTCAATATGCAGTTTGGTATTAATGTTCATCATTATGAATGAGAGAATTACTTACAAATAGGCATAATGCTGTGCAATGTGTATGCATGGGAGGTGGTTCTTAAAAACAGACTTAAGGTTGCTAACTAAACATTTCTCATCTGTGGTTCTGTGGCATTGAGTATCTTATATAACTGCTTTGGAGTTGTTAATTTATCCAAGCAATGTTTTCCAGTCTTGCCAGGAAAGGGCAAATGGAAGCAGTAACTTAAAAGCAGAAATACAATTTTAAACTTATATACTGAGCAAAACAAAAGAGCAGTACCATGTGGGGCAGTACCTATTTAAATACAGTCGCCAAAAACCTTACCCTGAGTTTTGGGGGTTGATAATGAATTGTTTGTTGTATGAAATGTGCTTTGGTCCAAGGACTGAGAATTCTGGTCTTTACAAATGCAAAACCACACATTTACAAAATTGGGCTCATTTGTAAGATCTCAACGGTTGTAAAAGTGATCTTCTCACAAGCACCTGGATTCACACAGAAGTGGAATTATTAACTGCTGTCTTTGCACAACTCTGTTTCAGGCCAATTTCACATTAGTCTTATGTCCCTGACAATACAGGTCTGAAATAATCTGATAGCAATGTAAAATAAAGCGGTGAATTCCATATGTGAAGTGCTAAAAAGAACAACAAGACCCTGTTGAGCTGTCTTCAGAGGAAAAGACTTGAATGCGCTAGTGAATTATGAAGTGATTGTCACAGCGTTAATACTCTAACTTACAATTTGAAGCTGTATGATATTGCACTTCAAGTACTGATACCAGTACTTGAAACCGAGATGTTAAAGAACAATCTTCATTATTGATCCAACATTCTTTGCAATATTTTGTATTGGTATTTTGTAATCTACTTACATTTGCAAAGCAGTGTCTCTGACAGGCTGTCCAACCACCTTACTCAAGGTGATTATTTGCAAAATTTGGTTGAATGAAACTTGTGCATGAGATGGCAGAGATCTGACAAGCGTCAGTGAGAGGACAGAGATGTTTTCTGGCTTGTCGTTCACCTAGATGAGAGAAAAGTCTTCTGTTTTTCAGATAAGCTACATTTATTCCAGTTTTAGTCAGTGCTATTTCATAGGCTATTAACAGGAAACTCTGTTAATGAACAGCGTTTGGGTGGGGAAAAATGTAATTTATCTGATGTCAATCAACGTAAATATCCTTGTAGACAATAGAGTAGAAAAAGCTTTTGAAAGTCTTCAAACAAGGAAAAAAACCTGTGACATTCTCTCTCACAATTTAGAGCCATTTTACACTGCTCCAGTTGTTTGAAGAAAGCCTGAAAGCTTTTCCACCATATAAAACTGACCCTAGAATAAAAGAGAAGTTACGCTTTTCGTCACTCTACTATAAATAACTTTCTAGGGTTATATCCATTGTTTCCCTTCCTTCCTGCGTTTCACCCGGCTCCATTGCAGTCCAGCTACAATGCTGCAACTAAAATGGACTTTCATTCTTGCGTGCTAGCATCGCCCTCATTAGTGTATCGGGATGTCTCCTCAGCGCTTCCCACTTCAAGTACCTTGTTCTTCTGTTTGGGTGTCTTCCACTGATTGCTGCTTGCGTTTTCAATGCAGGTCAGGGATTTTTTGGTTTTTTTCTTCTCTTTAAAGTTTTTCTGCCACTGTTCTGTTCAGTGTCTCACTTTCAGTATCTTCTGTACTTCTGTTTCATATAGGGCTTGTTTTCGTTCTTGTGCCCGTTATATTTGGTCAGAAGATGAGTATCATGTTTACATTTCTCTTTCTCTTCTTTCCTACAATACTGAAGTAATTCAGAAGTGAAATATTGCTGCACTTCACATTGCACTGGTAAACTCTATGTTTCAGATCAGTATAGCTAGGTGAAATGTCGTTTTGTATGTTGTTGGGCATGAGCATAGAACAGGTATCACGGTGACTGAATGTTTATCAAAATAGCTTTGTCTGTATTTCTTTGGGTAGACACTTCCTATTCAAACTTTTGCAAATTCTCTTAGTCATTGGAAAAGCAAAGACCCTCACTTTTTATGAACCACTTGAACTGAAGGCTGGATTTGATACTTTTTACTTACATGTCTGACTGGATGAGCATAAGTATTCAGTGTGCCCCTCACCACTTTTTTAACTAAGGTAAGGGTGTCACTTGAAAGGTAAAACAAAGAATCCCACATCTGTCTGAACGGGTCAGTTACAAAGGTAGAGCACTAAATGTATCGTGGTCTATTTAACTCAAGTGCGCTCCTTTAGTCTGCAGACTTTGTCATGATTATCCGTGTGTTTTCAGTGATTGACTTGTTTGGCGGTTAAATTAACAACTGAGTAAGAATGACAGATTTTTTTGGTTACCCCATTTTCATAGCTCTTCTCTTAGCGTGCAGTGTCAAAACTGCATGCAAGCTAGTGGGGGAGCGTGCGGGCACGGTGAAGGGGAAAGCTGGTTGCCCTTTGCAGCAGCAGTGTGGTGTTGGGGCCCCTGGCCCAGCCACAAAGCTGGCGGTGAGAGCGACTGCCCACTACTTCAGGGTGGGTTCCTCACCCTCCCTTCCCTTTTCCACCCTCTTACCTGGAACTTCCCCCAGGTCATCTCTTCCCCCTGATCCCAATAGTTGATGCTTTCAAAAGGTTCCTCAGAGGCCTGAGTCAGTTTTTAAAATAGAGCTTTGCTAAATCCTGTATGATTTGGGTCAACATTTTAAAGGCTTTGCAAGTAAAGGAAGTTGGATTTGGGGGGAGGTATATTTTTGTTTAAAAATAGAATATTTTCTTCTTTTCATGTTTGTGTAATTTTTTTCAGAATTTACACTGAAGGCCTTAAAAACCTTAACGGGCGTTTTTGCAGTTGAGGTGAAGGTGGAAGACTGACAGTCACATTCTCTCTCAAGTTGTTAACAGAAATTTGCAGTAAATGTTTAATAATTACAAAGCTATTTCACCTCTCTAGTTCTCATATCTTCCCAAAAAATCCTTCTGTGTAAACAGAAGACAAGATTATTTTTTTAATATACAAGATTATTTTTGCAATATAAATACTATGGTTATTGGAGGGGGTATATGGAAATAGTCTCTTCTGGAGATGAATATTTTATGTTGCTTTTATAGTTCATGATACAGTTAGAAAACAAGAACATTTATTTTCCAGATTAGGTCCAAATGAATAATGTCTTGTTTATGTTATAATAATTGTACAATTATTAAGTTTGTAAACTTTTGCTGGTTAATATAAAATGCAGCTTCATTCTTTTTGTCTTTATTCTTTTAGGTCATATTGAAGTTGTGAAATTACTCGTGGCCCATGGAGCTGAAGTGACGTGCAAAGATAAGAAATCATATACACCCTTACATGCTGCAGCCTCTAGTGGGATGATCAGTGTAGTCAAATATCTTCTAGATCTTGGAGTTGATGTAAGGAACAATAAAACAAAGTGATGCATTTTTTTTGTTGTTGTTTGAAATGCTCCTGTTAGTATTGTAGCACACTGTTTATTTAGGGGCAGGTTATGATATAGTGAAAATAGTATTTCCAAAGATCTTCATTCACATGTTTTTTGTTTTTTTTTTTTAATAAAACCTCATTCCCCCAAGTAACTTAAGAGCCTTGCAGATTTTGCACAATTATTTGGAAATAAATTTGTATTTAGTAGGTTTTTTTGTTCATTTGGTATTTCTTACTCTTAGTTCATTGGACTGGAACTCAGGAAATAGGAATTCCGTTCCTAGCTTTGCCACACAAACCTTTTTGAACTGCAGGAAATTAAACTCTTTTGCTTCAGTTATTTGTAAAATATAAATGTTACTGACTTTCTTACACGACATAAGTTTTGGGAAATACTAAAAATTGTGAGAAACTTCAATACTACAGTAAGGAAAGCCATATTAGTATTGAAATGCAAAATAAATTAAAAGGCTGTACAGTACCTGCATGTAGAAAGTGTGTTAACAACGAACTGTGCAACTGTGTAAGAAATCTACATTGTGCATCACATTTTAGTCTTACAAGGCTGCAGAATGCTGCCAAAGTTCTATCTTGAGAAGTAGATCAGAATTCAGTATCATGTTGTGCACAACAACAAATTCTACTTCTATATGTGCCCCCCTCCAAAAAAAAAAAAAAGTCCCTTTGACCTCTGTTTTTAACGGAAACCCGCAAATGCTGTTGAAAAATGATAGAGGTCTGTCCTGTGCTTAGTCTGTAGTGTCTGTGCAAATTGCCACTGTTGACATTTTTTCCATATGTGTGTTCTGTCAAGTTGCATACTGAATACAGGAAACTGCTGTGGAGACAATTGGAGGACGTTGGCTCACTTGTAAAGCAATCGTACTCTTCCCCGGTACACGCTTCTTGATCAAAGTACTACATCCAGAACTTGGTTTTAATTTCTGGTTTTGAAGAGTTCCAAAACATAATGAAGAAGTTGTCTCATGACATGAGATTTTTCTTTGTCATAATTAAATGCTGCAGTAATACAGGTTTTTGTCTACTAACTAATCTTGGGTTTTTTTCTCTGATAGATGAACGAACCAAATGCCTATGGAAATACTCCTCTCCATGTAGCTTGCTATAACGGGCAAGATGTTGTAGTGAATGAACTCATAGACTGCGGTGCTAATGTAAATCAAATGAATGAGAAGGGTTTTACACCTTTGCACTTTGCTGCTGCTTCAACACATGGAGCATTGTGTTTAGAGCTTTTGGTCTGTAATGGAGCAGATGTAAATATGAAGGTAGGTGAATCCAAAGCCATCCATTCACTTTTAAAGATGCAGTACGTCTTTATCAGAGGTAATTTTTCAAAGTCATTGTTACAATAATATTTAGAAGTTCCCACTGATTGATGGAGTACTTCTGTGAAAAGTACTATAGAAAAAATGAGCCAGTATGTTGCTTCAAGGAACTTGGTCTGAATCTGAAAACCTCAATGGGATGTAGTAAATAGCCCAAAAGGATAAAGAAGAAAGATGACAATACTGTCTGGTCAATCTTGATTATATTTAAATGTCAGAATTCCACATAGTTTGTCTTCCCTAGTCTATCCATATGAATAAGAGCAAATCATATGGAAAAATGCAAAAGAACATGTTTTTCTTATATAAAGCAGCATTAGTGAAATCAAGGATATTTCAGAGAAATGTGTATGAACAGGCTAATTGCTGGAGCTGATAATATAATATCCTAAAATAAGGGAGAATTGTGAAGGGTGTATTAAAAATACAAAGGTAAGTAGATAGGCCAATGGAAAGTCTGAAACAGCTGGTTTTTTAATTACTCCAGCAAAACTTTATGAGCAGAGTCAGTATACGTTTTACATCTCTACTTGGTCACAAGTTTTTGGCTGCAGAATATTCCTTAGAATCCAGTCTCAGTGTAGGTAGAATTTCTAATCCACACAAGCATAAAAGCAAACTATAACCTATATCTTTTATTTTTTTTAGGGAAAAGTCTTGAGATGGAGAGAGAGAGATGTGAGACCTCCTGTTCTGTATTAAGTTGTTTTTTACTCTAGTAATGAAAACTTAACTGTGTTCAGAAATATCCAGTGGCAGTATCTGGTGTCTTGACAGGTTTTAGGCTGGGGGAAGTGGGAAACAGGTATGTGGAATGAAGAGTTCAAGTGTTCCTCTTACAAAATATCTAATTGCCTGTACTGTTGCCCAGATGTGGTAGGAAGAGAATTATCTATCCTTTTGTTTCTTAAATAAATATGTTTAATAGAGTTATGCCTGAATTTCAGCACAATCTGGGTAAGAGGTGAATAGTAGAATTGGTAACATTTCTGTTAAAAATCATGGGGTTTGTGGCTCACTTCATGTGAGATACTCACACTGATTTTCAGCTGACTAATTCTAAAATACAATTTTATATCTTTTATACCTATTACAAAATCCGTAGCCCACTGAAAATTTGGGAGTAATTTAAAAATAAGCTATTTGATGTGGGAAAAATCTTATATGTATGTTACTGCTCACTTTTACATATATTTAAAAGTGCAGCTCATTTAATGAAAATGTACTTAAACTCAGATGTGGAAAAATTCATCACCTAAGTGCCCTGGAGAAGTAAGGAGCTGTGCTACAGGGCTTATTGCCAACTTGTCCTAAAATACACAGGTCACAGTCCATTTATTTTTGTTGCCAGCTTTCTGCTCTGCATAAAGTCCCAGACTGGTTATGACTGAGGGTTTAGCCTTACAGGGCTGACTTCTGTCCTACATTCTTGAAACATCATTTCTCAGTAACGTATTTTCTGTCATGAAAATAATCCCACAATGTTAAATATATTAATGATTATGTACATATGTTACAGAAATAAGAACAAAAGAGCAACATAAATATTGCCAAGCAAAGAATTACTGTTTTTCTATATGCTGGGTTGCAACGGTTCATGACTTTGTGCATATTTCTGATGTAGAAGAAAGAAGTGGGGAGGGCTTCATTTCAGAAAGATGTGCAGCAAGTAACGGTCGTTGGGTTTATTTTGGCTATTCATTTTCAAGTACACCTTAACTGTATGTTAGGAATGAACATGTAAAACTTCCAACATTCTATTAGGATAATTAAACACTGTTAAAGATTACTATAATCTTTATGTTTGAACTTAAAATAAGAATCTTTGTTTTACATATGGTATACACTGTAGATACTGACTACATTTAGTCAGTTATAACACTAAGTAACCTTAGAAATTGTGCAAAGAATGGCTAATATCTTCAAAGTGACTGGCAAAGTTCCGGAATTCTTTGAAGTTTGTAACGTGGGTGAACTTTTGTTTGGAGGTGACAAAAGATGTTTTAACATCAGAGAGATGTATTGTTGCCTTCCTTTCCCATTCAATTTTAAGTTATGGGATCCAAACTATAGATTTGTCAGTTTCTGTAACTTTAAAAAAAAAAAAAAAAAAATCCATAGAAGATTTAGTATGGGTAAACCCAGGTTTTCTCTTAAGCTTATTCTGAGATGACAGAATCATTTTTTCTGAAACATGATAGCGATGGGGCTGGGAAATGCAGCCTGAAGCATATCATAGAGCTGAGAATTTCAGCTGAGTCTAAGAGCTTAGTAAAGATTTGGCTACTGAAGTTAGCCTGAAGAAGAAAATGTCTTTACAGTGGAAAGGGTTAGTAGCTTTAGCTATAGGTTGGCTGTAATTAAAATGTGTTGATTTAGAAAGTATCAAAACTGTTAAGTGCAAAATTAAGCAAATAGGATTGTGTAGGGATTTTAAGCAATTATAGCTTGAAAACAGCATTTATCCCGTTTCCGCACCAACGTGTGTCTCTGTCGTAATTCTGTTAATAGCATTTCTGTGGATTTATACCAGTATGACTGAATTTGGCCTGTGAATTTGTGCCTGAAGGTGTGAACGCCCTTACTTTGTATATCTGGCATGGACTCAGGAAAAAAAGGAG